TGTTTTCGTTTGTCTTTCCAAGTAAATATGTTCCTAAAGTCAGAGTTGGCTTAGTTTAGCTTCTAGCAGCATGCTATGGAAACTAACCATGAATAGTTAAGACTCAAGAGTTTAGATCTTCTAGATTTTCTTTAAAAAGTAACAACCCTTCAAATGCACCATATTTACAGTTCTCTGCTTAAATCAAAACATATTGAATATCTAGGTAGCATACAATCTACAGTATTTTGGACTATTAGAGGTACTGCACTGAATTAAATGACTACATTGGAAAGTTCCAAATTAAATACCTTATTTTTAAAATGAAAATGGGCAATTGTAATTGTTGTCCCATGCCTAATTTCCTAAATGCTATGTGATATATTTTATTGCTGAGTGATATGTTACATATTAATTTCCTTTCTAGAAGGTCAACACCACAGTCAATATTGCTGTAAATGAATTTTCTATTATTATTAATATATTAATAATGAAATAGGTATTGGTTAAAATACTTTCTCCAGGGACAACAACGTCCCAAGAATTGAATGCTTTGTGACTGGAATACTGGGGGAGATGGGGGAGTTTGGCTTTAACCCGCTTGGTTAATGGTTATCCAAGGACAAGGACAAGGAGATTCGAACCCCATTCAGAGAGGAGTGAACCAGGGGCAGCTGCAAGGTGGAGATGGGCAGGAGGGATACTGGAGATGAATGTGAAGGGTGGCGTTTGGGTTAAGTATATCTAGAGCTAATTTTGTAATGCTGGTGATTAGGCGCAGCTGGAGAGATCGACTTGTCGTTGTTACCCTTCCCAGACTTCAGTTATTAACTTCCATAAAGCCCTCAAACTGGCACAGCCGGTCACTCCGTCAGTACTTTGCTCTTAATCAGATAGACTACTGTATGTCTTCTTCCAGTTGTGAGGTGAGAGGCAATCGAATGGAACAGCTCCCCAGTGAGCAACAAGACAAACACCAGCCTGAACCGTTTCTCCACCACCATTCCAACAGGCCGTTCATAGTGGAATCAGCAATGAAGGCAGCAGAAAGTACAAGATGAAAAAGCAACATCCACAGAAAATCATGACGTGCATTTTTTCTTTACAATAATTAAAGAGCAGATATGACTGAGAGAAAGGAGAGGGCCCCTTAAACCTAACAAGGCAGATGTTTAGAAGTTGAAAGGATGTGAATTATGCGACGTGGTTTCTGCAGGAGCACATCTGAAACGGACTTTGAAATCTCTGGAACTTTACAGTGGTTTTATGCTTGTTATGAGTAACATGTCACAAGTATGGTCACACAAGGCCCAGCAAGAATTCAAGATGGAAGCATCTGACAAAAGCAAAAAGCTTAACGTGTCTTTTGGACTCACATTCAGTAATTCAGTATGTCTCTCTTCTAAATGAATCACATCTTTAAACGAAGAATATTATTTTCTTTGTTCTTATCTCACGAAATCCACAGTAAATGCACAAAATTACCTTTTAAGAGGTTAAGCCATGAGAAATATAATGTGTTCATGAGAAATAAAATCTACCGCCAATTGTAGAATCACACTTCTAATCACGTCTGGTGCAACTTGCATGTTGAATCATCTTGCTACAGCCAGTGGAGGAAAACAACTAAGCTCAAGCCTAAAGCATTGTCTCCTCATGAACTCTTTAAAGCAGAACAAAAAAATGACCACAGTGCCACACTGCAGTGTACGTTTCTAAATGATTGCTAAGCTTCACAGGGTAATGTAAAATGATAACAATTACAGTCTTTCGTCACCTAGATCTGAAGTTCTTCCACCTCTTACCCTGCAATGAGAACCCATCGATCTGTGTGAAAATGTTGCCAAATAAACTAATTTATTCATCATCTCATACTTACTACTTATTAAAGTGGTACTTAACGCTCTATAACGTTCAGTTATGACATATACTTTGACTTATTAAATCCAGCTGCTATATAAACTTGATCATACTTGCCATAAGAAAGAGGACTCTAATTTAAAAATCTTAAATGTCACAGTCTGAGAATTCAGAACACAAGAGATATAAATTAAAAACATGCCTCATATAATTCATATATCAGGTTCTATTTTAACAAGTATAAGAATCACTGAGACTTCTTCTTGGCGAGGGCTTTTTTAAATAGCTTATTTTTGCGGTACACATCATAAATCACATAAATTATAAAATAGAGTTTGTTTTGACACATGGGAAAAAATTCTGCTGTCCACTTTATAGAAGAAGTCAGCATAAATAAAAAATGCCCTGCGGGGCAATCATAAATATGGAAAAGTGAGGTGTGAAATTATTATTTACTCACCGTAAACTGGAAGAATACAGAATATATTGCGCAGGGCAGATTTCTGCTTGTCTTGGTGCTACATCAGCTTGGACCTTCTCTCACCTGTCACTGATTCAATGAGGATTCTGAAAAAAAACGGGCTCTGCAGCAACCGTGAATTTAACCAGCACACCTGGCTGGAGTGACTTTGACGTTTTCACTGGGAAAAAAAGGCACAAAAAGAAAATGTCGGATTAAACACATTTATAAAAAATTATCATCAACCTACAGACACAAAACAAACATGAAAGTATCTGACTTGTGGGTTTTTGCTCTTTTCTTTATCCTTTCCTCGATATAATCTTGTATTGGTATGATTATTAGGTGTAGTATTTGTTGGCGTTCTGCATACATGGACAGAAAACTTTCAACATTAAAGTACAAACACCTGTAAGCACAAAGTAATAATGAAAACGGAACACAACTAAAAACTCTACATTCTATAATACTGTTTGCAATTATTTGTAACACGTAATCAGTATATTACATTCATAGTGTACAAAAAAATACAGATCTGACACAATAAACACTCATATAATTCAGATAATGTCTGTTTATTTATTGCTATTAAATAAATACACAATGATGATGATTTGATGATGAGGCGATTTATTGATCATGGAATTATGAGAAGAACAATACAAACATGTAAAAGTAAGAGTATATGGTTACATTATTGTCTGTGTTATCTCAACTGTTTTATCAGCATTATATTACCATAAACTGGATTAAATGAAATGTTTATTTTCCACATACTTGCACATACTGTACAGTACATTGATGTACAAAAGACATGCAACACTAAGGTCTAATGCATTTAACCAAATATCTTAAACATTACAAATTAAGATTGGATATGAGACAGACGCTCAGACCTGATCAGCCCGTGGGTAGACTGCTGTGAGATGTTTCTGTCCAGCTGTATCCAGCTGGAGTACAGTGGAAAAACCACAATGGTCTCCCACTGATGGTGCTGGCACATTGGTCACACAGCTGTTTTGCTGGACTCCAGTCAGGAGAAAAAGCCAGCCACAGCAAGAAAACAATGTGCTGGTGTTGGAGGTTGTAATCCTAGCACGTTGTGTTGCATTGCATCCTCCTGCTGGGAAATTGACAGGAACAGGAAATGTGTTGGTCCAAGGACTCTGACAGTGTAACCCACTCTGCACCAAACACGTTCTTGCGCTAAGAAGACATTACTCCCTACATCATGACAAAATTCACCCACTCACCAGTTGACTTGAGCTATGCAGCATCCAAAATAACCACCATGATGTCTCTGCCCACACTTTATTATCTCAGGTAAGTCAAACACTCGACCACCGCATCTTAAACAGCTCAAATTAGCACCTGCACATGTTAGTACCTGCACTTGGGCTTCCGGTCGTCCATCTTCCAATGAAGGCCTCATACTGGTAGGAGCATCTGGCTTTTAAAGGGAAGGGCTGGAACAGGAGGCAGGTGCAGGAAAATCAAGCAAAACGGGAAAGAGCCGGAATGCCCTTAAGAGGAGGGATTTACGGTCGTGACAACTATGGGTTCAGTACCTGAGATGGGAGAAAACATCCATGGGTCAGCAGCATTCCAGACCCTCCACAAAAGAAAACATAACATCTCAAATCCTGCATGGGGTTTGCAACAAAACACCTAAGTGACACTGCAGACTGAGGAAAATGGTTTTGCAGTCAGACAAGATAAAACTGGAACTTTTTGTCTAAAAGGTGAGTTACATTTGATGCAAATCCCACATAGTACATCACTCAATAAATAGCATCCCTACTGTCAAGCATGGTGGTGGCAGAATTGTGTTATAGTAGACATCAGCAGAGATTGAGAGTCTTGTCAAGATGGGAACATAAATGAAGCAAAGCACCCGGCAAGTCTTGGAGGAAAACCTATTTGAAACTTAAAACCACGACAAAAATATTTACCATTCAGCAGCACAGTGATCCAAATCACAAGTCCAAAGCTACACTCCAGTTGTTTTAGAATAAGAAAGTTAATGTCCTTGGGTTGCTCAGTGAAAGCCCATATCTGACTTTTCTTATCTAGTTTCTGAGTCATCAATAGCATTTCAAATGCTTATAAAAACAGTATCCAAGTATTTTGTGCATTTGTTGTTCATATTGTGCATATTTTACACAACCATTAACTGCAATTAGGCAACATGTAAAATAGGAGTTAAATTTTCTTTTTAGCAGCTCTTAGCTAAACTAACGACAATGTCAATTTATGCCATGTCGAAAAGTAGGCCAGGAACTATTAAGAATAATCCTTATCACAAACCCAATCTGGTAGATCTGAAGAGTACGTGATTAATTCTTCAGTATTAATCATGTAATTCTTTCATATAAAACAAAGCTTAAGCTTTATTTGCTAAGATATTTGACCTTGTGAAAGAGTTAAGACATTACAGCTTGGATTTAAAATGCATCTAAAGATTAAAAATGATGGTTGACTATTACCAAGGATTATAAACCAAGTAAAATTGCTTTTCATTTTGAAACAAAACTGATTTTTAAAGAAAATGAGGAGCAGGTGGTACATTACATATTTTCAAATGAAAATAAGGTTAGATGGTAGATGTGCTACATCTCACTTTTTCATTTTTCGTCTTCCTCTTTGGGACGGAATTCCACCCAAAATTAAAATAATACCTTATCAAAAGCAACACGATTTGTTCCAAATTTATGCTTCACAGCTCCGGGCTATGTACACGGACTTAACAAGAAAAAAAATCAGTGTTTGATGTTCACACTTTAAAGTAAATAAAAAAATACTTTATGACTATCAAGTACGTTTCACTTCTTCAGCGTATCTTGTTTACCAATATTGCTGTAATGCACTTAGATCTGTGATTGAAAATTACTCCAGAGACAACCTGAAGTTCCTGTAACATACTAAACAACTAAACAATGATTTCAGTTTCTATTGATTTTAGGAATCAAGTGTTTTAGTTTTAGAGTTTGTGTATTTACCTTGAGATAAAACAGTTTTTTCTATGCGATTAGATTAAAATCTTATGCTACTTAAAATAACAAAATATCATACTACCATAAATAAGAAAAATACATATTTAAATGTATAAAAAACATGTAAAATAATAAACAATTTGTTTGGCCCAGCAACATTTTCATAGGAACTGATTCGCTAACCAACTTGGGCAGCAGTGAATAAGCAAGTTGATAGGTTTGAATATCCACATCAGACGGTTCTGTGCACTGCATACTGATCATCAAAAAGATCATCACCTTTATTTTGACACAATCTTATTCACTACTATTTCTGGTTTACTAAATAATTTCTTATAAAACTACAATAGTTTACAAATTCTATCTTTTCCAGGCTTATTGAGTGCTAATTCATTCTAAAAAATAGTAGCAACGAATTTGGATAAATGAACTGCATTCAGACAGGAATTCCGAAATTGAAATACTTGAACTTCTTGCACTTGAAAAACACTACATTGATAACTGATATTTTTTTAATGTAGTATAATTTTTAATGAAAATGTTTGAATACACAGTGTCTATATCTGTCTCTGTTTTTGTTCACTTTTAACCCCAGGTAAGGAGGTACTGCTTTTCAGAGTTGATGATTGACTCATCCCTCTAACATTATTAATCGGCTGGAAAATGCTACCTGATTTATTAATGAGGTTTGAGATATATTTGACAATCAGCCCAAGTGACATTAATTGCTTTACTACAGTTAGGTCTTCTGCCCTGGAGCTGCTGAGGTACAGCTGGATAAAAACAGTTCGCTAGAGCAATGCAGGGAGAGCTAAGAGACCCCTGCCCAGATTGGCTGAAACACAGCACTTGACTACCGTACAAAGGGTCACGGACATACATACAGTACATGTACAGTTTCTGAGATGTGACATCAATCCGAGACGGCACTGCACTGCATGGGCTGTTCCAGCTGAATGAGATCTTCATATTAAGTTAAAGTTGAGGTATCAGCCCCGTGGTGACATCACCATGTAATGGTGTGATGAGATTAAGGAGAAAGTCAGCTGGGGAAGGAGTGAGACCCTCATTACTTAGATGTTGCACTGAAGACCAATCTAGAGGTAGCACAACCTTTTAGGTTCCACTCAACGGCATGGCCTAATTAAATTTAGCAGTCAGAGCCTCGAAGACCGTGTGATAGGAGGAAACTCACTAATCTTCAGCATTTGTGATCCATGCCAGGCTAGGAACATTAAGGTGTAATTTGAAACAGACATTTCAGATTTGGATTGACCCTGGAGAGAAAGCAACGTGGCCATGATATATCACACTGAACATGACCATCACCTTCTCTCCTGCTCACGTTTGGCTCAGCGTCTTTCTATCATGCACAACAATAAAACCCAAATAACGCCAGAACATCCCTCACCCAACCCAACAATAAAAGCATTTGTGTTGTGGAAATTACCCAAAAGAATGATAAATATCACAGGAAATATGATGATATTGAACCTATTGAATTGTAACAAATGTTTTAAACAGCTTTGACTGTAGCACTTTGTTGTCATTACAGACTAGCTGAACTGCAATCCTGTAACATTAATTCTCACATCAAAGTTTAAGTGCTTACACAAAAAAATAAAATAAATACAATAATAAAGACAAACCTGCCCCATAACGAAAATCTAAAGAAAACAGATGCCTTCTTTCTGGTTTATATTAAGGTGTCCTTTGAATTCCAATAGAGTGAATAACTGGTCAGCATTTTGCTTAATCCTCCTAAAGTTCTCAAAAGTCTGTTTGGTTATTTCTAGGAACCCAGTCTGACTCAGTTTCAGTCATCTGTAGAGGAAATGTCTTTCAATGGCACAGCATCTTTCTGAACTTTCTAAACTTCTCCTGTGTGTGTTCACTATGTAAAAGATTGAGCATTTGCATTTCAAGCAATTAATACAAATAATATTGCTTACAGTTATCATGATGCCTAAGATAAATAGTGAAATGTAAAAGATCATTGCTCCTGTGAAATACTTCATAAAACAAAAAATGAATGGGGACCTTTACTCTCATTGATAAGAGGCCATGAAGGAATTGCAGGTTAATCGGACCTCCCATGGAATATAAAAAACTTGTGCCCAGTTTTTTCTAATCGTCTTCATGGAGCCTGACTGAACTGCCATGATCATAATTCAGTGCTGACCTGGCTATAAAATGACGCACTTCACAAAAAATCAGTTGACAGATGACCAGTTCAGAAAACACAAATACTTCACACCCCACACACACCTTATTTGTCAAGGCTGTCGAACCTCCATCGTGGAGATTTACAGCCCATCAATTTTTGCATTTCATCCTACTATACGTAAGAAGTTTACAAAGACTTGGAACCCGTGTAACTTCTGATCAATTTGGAGAATTAACCGAATCAGGAAAGACCACCTGAGAACACTGAGAGTTACAGGGGTTTGTCCTTGACAAGTACGAAAGATTCTTATAAAAAAATATTCCAGTTTTCTGTAGCGTTTGGTTTTTGATTTGTATTTGTTTTCACAACCTCTATAAGAAGGAGAACAAATTTGGAGAAAAAGGTAAAAAATAATGTAATTCAAAAATCAATGTAAACATTATACTATGAGGTTCCATTCAGTTTCAAAGAGATTTTCTCATTTTCATAAAACATCTGTAGGCATTCAAATTGACAGGCAGCTACAGCTCATGTATAAAAATATGAGAGAATTATTTCTCTGAACAGCAGCAGCAAACAACAAGTTACATCTATCCTAGGAAAGACAACTACAGTACACTTGCAACATTGCTCCTACAACATGCAATTTTGTTTCTACAAAAGTTGGGATACAAACGTGTATGTGGCCTGTAAAACTGTTATATTTTAAACAAAAGGAATTTTCTAAATGCATTTACATTTTAAATGCATGTTAAAATATTATCTAGTATTAAGACTTTGGCAGCTTTTCACTCCTTGTGCTGGCTAGCTTTGTCAGGGGTTAAGACATCATTTCTGCTCTGGAACTGGTACAATAAAGAGCCTCAAGGTACGTTTCCAGGCTGAAAGAAACATCTTGTACCAACAGAGTAAAACACCTGCATCTTTTTAGTCCTGAAAAGACATGACTGTAAGGGAGCTTGACTCAAAATCCTCAAAGGCGTTGAGAAAGTCAGTCCAGTGGACGTCTTCAGAATCGCCAGTAAAACAAGCCCACAGAGAGCTCATAAGGAAATGAAGGAAGCATTTCTTTTCACAAAGCCAAACCGTCCAAAACCCTTCGTTCTGATTGGTCCTGTTCAACACCCAGATATATACAAGGGCCCTCAACTGACCAATCTGAATAAATAGAAATATGTTATTGTATCATTATTATTATAATTATTATTTCCATTCTCAGATTGAGGGACTCCAAATGGATTAAAGCAGAAAAAAATATGAATAAAAGTGTTCTGAAGACCCTCTTAAATGTGAATGATTTTCATTTTTCTTCATAAAAGTGCAATGATACATATTCGTAAGACACACATTCCACCAAACTATTATTCATGGACAACATTTTATCATTCAATTTGGCACATGACCTACA